GTGTGAGATATATTTGAGGATTGATGAATTTGTAATTTGATATGTTTTGTATATCCCAATAGGACTGTTGTTATTTGTATTTATAGAGGAGATATAAATAATATTGGATTACAAAGGAAATAATATAATCCCTATAATCAAGTTATACAATAGGAAAGAATAATATAATCTCTATAGTCAACTATACATTAGGAAAAAATAATAATCCCTTCAATCAAGCTTCATAAATCAACCTAGAATTAAGGAATCAAACTCCATAAATCAACCTAGAATCAAGGTGGTTGATATATATCTTTACACCCTCCTGTAATCACAGCGGCATTAACGACTCTGAGATTGGCACATGCTTGAGTAAATCGAGCGACAGGAAGACCCTTAGTGAGAGAGTCAACCAACTGAACATGATTAAGAACTAAAAGCATTTGTAAGGCACCATGAGCAGCACGTTCCTAGATAAAATGGTAATTAATTTCTATGTGTTTGGTACGACCGTTGGAGAACTAGATTAGCAACAGGATATGTGGCACTAATATTATCACAAAACAGAGTAGAAGGCTTCCGAAGAAAAATACCAAGTTCACGAAATAGGGATTGGAGCCAACATAAGTCCACGATACTAGTTGCTAGAGCACAATATTCAACCTCAGTGGAAGACAGAGAGACTGTCAGTTGCTTTTTAGAACTCCACATGATAAGATTAGAACTAACAAAAATACAACTACCAGAAGTAGAATGATGGTCATCCCGAATGCCGGCCAATCAGCGTCCGAATAAGCAAAGAGATGCATGTCTTTGATAGGAACAAAATGCAAGCCAAACTGAATTATACCTTTCACATATTGAAGAATTCGTTTGATGGCATCAAAGTGAGCTGAAGTTGGAGCATGCATAAAGAGAGATACTTGATTCGTAGCATAAGAAAGATCCGGTCGTGTGATAGTGAGATATTGGAACCCTCATACTAATTGTCGAAAAGGAGTATGATCAACAAGATGAGTATCATCATCTTTAGAAAGTTTAGTACCTGAGACAACTGGACTAGCAAGAGGTTTGGCACCCATCATGCCAGCACAGTCAATGAGAGAAAGAGCATATTTAGGCTGACTGAGGGTGATAGACTAAGAAGAACGTTGAACCTCAATACCAAAAAAATAAGTAAAAGAACCAAGATCCTTCATTTTTAAATGGCGGCCAAGATAAATAATCAAATTTTGAATGCCAATCATGTCACTCCCAGTTATAATAATATCATCAACATAGATAAGAAGATAAACACAACCTACCTCTGTTCGGCAAAGAAAAAGAGAGGTATCGGACTTGCAGGCATGAAATCCCATAGTACCCAAAACTGTACTAAAATGAGAGAACCATGCCCAAGTAGCTTGCTTAAGACTATAGAGCCTTGGTCAGTTTACACACATAGTCGAGCCTCGAAGGATCTTCAAAACCTGGAGGTTGCTGCATATAAATAATGTCAGTAAGATCACCATGCAAAAATACATTTTTAACATCCAACTGGCGAAGAGGCCAAGAGAAAGTACAAGCCAATGATAAAATGAGGCGAATTGTAGGGTGTTTGACAGAGGGACTAAAGGTTTCATCAAAGTCAACCCCGGGTTGTTGATGAAAACCCTTAGCAACCAATCGGGCTTTATATCATTCAATAGTACCATCTGGTTTCTATTTGGTACGAAACACCCATTTACACCCAATAACATTCATGTGAGGGTGGTGAGGAACAAGAGTCCATGTGTGATTTTTAAGAAAAGCATTAAACTCTTCTGTCATAGCCTCACGCCAATGAGCATGTTTAGCAGCGATCGTAAAAGATATGGGATCCAGGGGAATGTCGGATAAGGTTGAAAGAAGGCAATAGGGTAGCGAGTGTTTGGTGGCTAGGAGAGCGAGATGATGACGTTGAGCTGTCAGAATAAGGCATGCTGCTAGTTTGGAGAAGAAAAAAAATTATTATTGCTGGGAGAAGAGAATGATTATGTATCTGATACCATGTATGTTTTGCATATCCCAATAAGACTATCGTCATTTGTATTTATAGAGGAGATTTACAGAATATTGGATTACAAAGAAAATATTATAATCCCTATAATCACGTTATACAATAGGAAAAAGTAATATAATCTCTATAGTCAACTATACATTAGGAAAGAATAACAATCCCTTCAATCAAGCTCCATAAATCAACTTAGAATCAAGTAATCAAGCTTCATAAATCAACCTAGAATCACGGTGGTTGATTTATATCTTTACAGAATTGACTGGTTTTTAGTTTGAGTTCAAGTATGAAAGTTTAGTTTAAGTTCAAGTATGAAAGGGTCTACAAAGTTGCAAAATCTGTAGAAGTTTTAGTGTGACAAATTAATCAGTAATATTGGTTTACAATGCAACTAATAATTAATCAGTAATATAATCCCTATAATCAAGGTGGGATCAAGGTAGAAAACTGAACTGTTTTGTATGAAAATGGGGAGGAGGAGAGTTCTATGAATTTTGAGAAAATGACACTTAGTAGTTTGTCCACTGAAGGATGGGTTAAACCAGCACAACATAACAACTAGTCCAACAAGAAAATTTGTCTCCCTGTGCTCCTTGATATTGACCCTTTGGAATCATTCTTTCCTAAAAGCATGAGGAAGTAGTAATCATCACTTATCTAAAACAAGCCTTGAAAATTTTCTTTTATCCTAATTAATTTTGCAAATAAATAAAAATAGCGTAACTCGAGTTTCTTCGAAAATTAGAAAAACATTTGATGGTCAATTTTTCAAAAGCTATTTCTTGAAACGAAAGGTTAAAATAAACCTAAATTCAAAGAAGCGCAATAATATATCTTGGAATTCGTTCAACCAGGCGTGTATAATTTACCATTTAATTTTCTACCATCTACTATATCCAAACATATCTATATATATATATATACATATACATATACATATACATATACGTTATTATTAAAGTGAAAAGAATTTCAGTGTTTTAGTATTTTAATATTTCAGTATTTATTTATTAATATAAAAAAATATTTATTAATAAATATAAAATGAATTCAAATAAAAAAGTTTACCAAATAATAAAATAAGTTACCAAGTAAAATAAATCCTATAAGTTACCAAGTAAAATAAATCCTATTATACTTGGAATTCTTCAAGTTTAAAACAACTTTACTTTTTTCTATTTTATTTTATTTATAACTCTTTCCTAAATATAAATATGGATCAAAATCTATCCGAATAATAAAATAAATTACCAATTAAAATTACGTAAATTCAATTGAGAAGTTTCAAATCATTATTAAAACAACTAAAACAATTAAAATAAATCCTATAAGTTACCAAGTAAAATAAATCATATTAAACCTGAAATTTGTTAAGGTTAAGACAACTTTACTTTTTCTTTTTTATTCTATTTCTAACTCTTTCCTAAATATTAATATAGATCAAAATCTATCCTAATAATAAAATAAATTACCAATTAAAATTAGGTAAATTCAATCAAGAAGTTTCAAATAATTTTTTAAACAACTAAAATAAGTTACGTATTAAAATAAAATAGGTAATTATTTAATAAAATAATTTATGAAATAATAAAATAAATTAACAATTAAAATTAAAAAGGTAATTGTTTAATTGAAATTCAATTAAGATGCTTCAAATCATTAAATAAATTAAATAGGTAATTTTTTTTATTTAAAATTCAATCAAGAAATAAATTACCAATTAAAATTAAATAGACAATTTTTTAATTGAAATCCAATCAAGATGTTTCAAATCTTTTATAGATAAAATAATAAAATAATTTATCAAATAATAAAATAAGTTACCAATTAAATTTAAATCCTATTATGGTCCGAATTCTTTAAGGTTAAAACAACTTTAATTTTTATATTTTATTATATTTCTAACTTTTTCCTAAATATAAATATAGATCAAAATCAATCCAAATAATAAAATAAATTAACAATTAAAATTATGTAATTTTTTAATTGAAATATTTATTTAATGATTTGAAATATCTTGATAAAATCAATGACGATTAATAAATTACCAATCAAGATATTTCAAATCATTTACAGATAAAATAATAAAATAATTTACCAAATAACAAAATAAGTTACCAATTAAAATAAATCTGATAAGTTACCAATTAAAATAAAAAAGTTACCTATTAAAATAAAATAGGTAATTATTTAATAAAATAATTTACCAAATAATAAAATAATTTACTAATTAAAATGAAATAGGTAATTGTTTAATTGAAATTCAATCAAGGTTTTTCAAATCATTAAATAAATTGCTAATTATAATTAAATAGATAATTGTTTAATTGAAATTCAATCAAGATGTTTCAAGTCATTCAATCAAGATTTCAAATCATTTCATTTTTTAAAACATCTTAATTTATTTTGATTGTTCTGTTTTGCAGCATGGTTCAAAATTCTTTATTAATCATGTTGATTTTTTTTGATTTTTTATTTTTTTTTTGTGTTTGTTTAATTATGTAATGTCAACATTTATTAACTAAACAAACAAGTTTTGTAATATTATATATTTCCTTGGCTATAAATTTTTTAATATTATATATTTCATTCTATAATTATATACATATTATACGTAACCACTTAAAGTTGAGGTTTTATTCTTAAATTTTAATCTCGACAACACAATTCACTTCATAAATATTTAAAATTTTAATTACTCAAAAAAGTTACTAATCAATTATTTAAAAAAGTAAATTTATTTTAATAATTTTTATATAAATTTTTTATTTAAAATTATAAAATAACTTTTCATCATAATACGGAGCAAATGAGCAATAGATGATGAACACTCTATATGTTTTCCTTTTTAACAGTTTAATTTAATTTAATAGAATAAGAAAAATCATCACCCAGCACGTGGAAATAAAGACGTTTCCGTTTGTTTAGCAAAATCATTGAGCTTCCAAATTGTCATGCAGAAACAAAAGACAACCAACGCCATTCTCAAAGCCCGTTTCATCGTGTACGGAGAAAACTGTGTGTACGGATTCCATTCTCTCTCTCTAAAACCCTGAATAATGGGTCATCACCACCACCATCACCATCATCCCCCTCCTCCACACAACAATGAAACCTTAAAGATCATTTGAAGAAGACCCAAATTGAAACATATATATATACATATATTTAGATATATATATATATCGATATTTAATTTTTAGCTGCCACCAACGGCGCCTTCTGTATTTCTATGCTTTGCTTTACCGATGAAGGGGCTTTGCAAGTCGAAGCCCCGGACACCGGCGGAGCTCGTGCACCGCGTTCGCGACCTCCTCCAATACGCCCACACCAACCCAGATTCCCGCCAAAAAAAGCGCCAAGAAAAGGTCCCATTTTTCGCTTATACCCCCTTTTGATTATCTATTTACATTGTTAATTGATTATGTATAAATTCTCTTTCATAATTAATTGTACACTAATGTTATGAAATTTGATTTATGTTTTTCTGTTTATGTGTGCCTGTAACACATATTTAAATGTATTCATAACATTCAAACGGAGTTTAATATGAAACAATAAAAATCCTAAGAATTTTAAAAATATATATCATTATATTTTTGAGAAACTAAAGGAACCATCTGTAATGCATTTACTAGGTTTGACTGTTTTGAATATTACCCAGGAAAAAAAAAAAATGACTAATTCTAACTTCCCAAGATTGGGAGATGATTTCGGCTAGGTAGAGAAATATATCCCACACAATGAGTTATCAGATGAGCTCAAGTGGGTTCATTGAAGATTACCATCATATGGGTTGATTTGAGCACATTGATTCTGCTAACATTGCTCCGAATTTACCTTATCTGTCTTAATTAAGTTTATTTAACCAAAATTCTACTTTTACTTGATAATACTTAGTGGAGATATTAATTGATTTTTGGATTATCAATTGGGTGCTGTCGGACCCAAGCGAATAAGAATATCTGTTCGGACTTTTTTTTCTTTTTTCTTCATACAAGCCCTTTCTTCTCTTTAATCAGTTTTTTTAAGAGATTTTTTTATAATAAAAAAAATTGGTTTTGGAAATAATTAGGAATGAGCATATATTGCTTTATTTCAACCTGCTAGGCAAGCTAATGGAGAAGTTTGCATTAAACTGACTTCTATGACCACGAACCAGACAGATCAGTAGTCTTTTTGTGCTCAAATCAGTACCTTAAATTCAGATATTAATATGCGTCTCAGGACAGTTATTGAGTAACAAGCATTCTTAAGGACAAAAAGCCATTCACTGTGGCTTCCTTTTGAGTTACTTGATTATGTTTCCCTCTGTCTTGCATTTATTTGCTGCAGACCTCAAAGTTGTGTTCTATTCAACTGTAAAGTTGACATCTTTTCATTTTTCCTATAGGAACAGAACTTGTTTGAACAATTTCTTTTCTCCATTTTTTTTTTTTTTTTTTTTTTCATTACCTGTATTATGGACTGAATTTCAGCTGATATTACTGATTCAAGCACGGCAAATTCTGAGAGTCATGCCAGCGGACAGGTTCTGTTAAGTTATACAATCCCAAAGACCTTGGGGGAGGTGAATAGGTTTACTTGCTTATTTTTTACTGATTTTAACTTGTTTGAATTTCACAAGTATATGCTCAATCAATAATGCAATCATGAAAATCACAAATGCAATGATAGTAATTTTACGCTAGTAAAAAAAGAGATAGAAGACACCAAACTTTTACATGAGAACCCCAATAGGGAAAAATTATGGAACTTTGTTCAGAGGAAAGCAATCCACTATTACTGGAGGAGAAGTTACAAACGCAGCCCAATGCTTTGAATTCCTTTTGCCTTTCTTTGGTAGATAAGTGCCTTAAACTTATGCCTAGCTCCACACTCAAACCCTTATGAGCTCAGTAGCTGCCAACTTCAACTTACTCTCACGATCTTTGCATTTCTAGCTGCTGATTGCCCACGCAATCGTTTTACTTAAAATGATCTGCCTTCTTCTAGGTGATTTTACACTTTGTCATTCTCGATCCCCAAAGCAACGGCTTGAATGTTTGAGAATCAATTGATATTCTGAATCAATGAAACGCCTTGGCTCTCAACCAATTAAAAACACAATATGGTGCAGATTTCTGTACTGGTGCACAAATCTGATGTACTGGTGTATTGTGCTTACAGTCTTCATTGTACTGCTGCATTGATCCGAATGTATCGATGCATTGAGCTCTCTGAGGTTCATATACCGGTGCATGTTATAGGATGTACCAATGCATAGAGCACAATAGGGTGTATTGTACCAGTGCATAGGAATAATGTATCGGTGTATTGAACTCCCCTGTCCGGTACTTTCCCAATTCACCTATTTTTTATTGATTTATTTATTTTTATAGGTAAGCAGGTGAGATTTTGTTAATCAGAACAATGGAACAACCCTACAAAAGACAAAGGGCATATACCCCAGGCCCATGGATTTATACAATATGTGGAACCCCCAAGTCCACCATTTAAAGAGGAACCAAAAAGGAGCCCAACATCAATGAAGAAAACCCCAAGCCAAGCAAAACCTCATGTACCACATAAAAGTCATATCCCTAACACCAAGATAGCTGGTAGCCATGGAATGAAAATGAAACTCACACAAAATGTTAAGAAGAATGCAATTTTCATCATCTCCAGAAAACTTGCAATAAGCACTAGAACCATGAGGCAAATACTATGTTGTGGACTTAAGGATTCTGTCCAGATTTCTATAGCAGAAATCGGGCCACCAAAAGACAACAAGGAGAATGCCTAAACAGTTCAAGAAATATATCCCACCACAGCACAAAGCACCATGTATATCATGCATCTGCAGATTTGTATAAGAATGCAACATCATCAAAACCAGATTAAACAGAAGCCCCAAACTGATGACCATAGCAAAATCAATCCTCAAAATCAGATTTGCAAAGAAGAAAAAAAACTGATCACAGTTGATATCAATCACAGAAGAAGACCATAAAAAAAATTTTGCCCCATAATGCTAACAGAGATATTCCACTCTCTGCATAACCATCTGTTAGATTGATTTTCCTGAAATTTATGCACGGAAATAACTCCATCTCTAATCACAGCAATTATTTCTTTCTGAAGAGTTAGCAAATCTTTATACTCATTAGTGCATACTCTGCAGTTTATTTCCCTCCAAAGTTTGTACACTGTGGCTGCAAAGGCAAGTCTATTAACAATGGAGATCAAAGATTTGCCTTTTAACAACATGCTCATCCAATTCAATAGATCAGTCCACTGATACTGGGGTCATTTAATTGCACCTTTTAGAGATATGCATGTCCAGATTCTTGAAGTAAATCTGCATTGGAAAAATAGTCTTCAATTTGTTCTCTGCAGACCGATTCACCTATTTAAGTCCTTTAAGCATCAAAAGTCTTTCAAACTCACTTCAACTATTGATTTAAGTCCCAAATCTAGTGGATAGAGTGTTTTCAACTCCATTCCTCAACCCATCCAAATGCTCGAATCCTCCTTGGCAAGGAATCTACATAGACTCATTACAAGGAAACTCTTATTACATGTAATTCAACTTTCATCCTTCAGAATGGAATACACATTATATCAAAATTTATTGCTCCTCTGTAAAAGAAGCTGTTAGTAGATATTTATGGAATGACTTACCATATTAACAAAAATTTGATTATGCTATAGAATATGCTGTGATTTGATTTAGATTTGATTTAATTTCCTTTCTTGTAATATGAGCATGTGCTTTTTTTATCTATACCTACTAGAGTTGTGAATGAGTGATTATCTTATTCAAGCCTTTACACAATTCTCTCATTTTTTCTTCTTTTTATATTTATACTTGGTATCAAAGCCAGGGTGGTCTGACTGCAATAAGGGCATTGTGAGTTCGGCACCACCCATTCGGGAATGGTCTAAGGTGACATCGCCCATCCGGGAGATGTCGGGTAGGCACGGTGTTCCGACCTCAATAAAGGCGTTGCGAGTTTGGCACCACCTATTCAGAAATGGTCTAAGGAGACATAGCTGTTTCTTTTTATGGTTTGAGGAGACATTGTTGATTCTTTCATCTACATTGTTTAAACATATATATGAAGGGGAATGGTCTGAGGAGACTTGTTGATTCTTCCATCTACATGTTTTAAACATGTATATGAAAGGAAATGGTCTGAGGAGACATAATTGGTTGTTTACGGTCTAAGGAGACATGATTGGTTGTTTACGGTCTAAGGAGACATGATTGGTTGTTTATGGTCGGAGGAGACATTGTTGATTGTTTGTGGTCTGAGGAGACATTTTTGATTTGTTGATCGGCACTTCATCTGAGGGAAAATTATCGCTAGTCAGATTTGCACTCCATTTGTCACAAGCTCTCAGTAGCTTGCAGACATTCTTACAAAGGGTATCAGCAAGATTGTGTTTGAGAATGCATTGTCTAAGTTGGGCGTTTTAGATATCCACGCACCAACTTGAGGAGGAGAGTTAGCAAATATAATAGTCACGATTTATGGAATGACTTACCGTATTAGCAAAGATTTGATTATGCTATTGAATATGCCATAGAATATGCTGTGATTTCATTTAGATTTGATTTAATTTCATTTCTTGTAATATGAGCATGTGCTCTTTTTATTTATAAATACTAGAGTTGTGAATGAGTGATTATCTTATTCAAGCCTTTACACAATTCTCTTTTTTTTTCTTCTTTTTATATTTCTACTGAAGCTTTCTGGAAACATGACTCAAATTAATTGCATGGAGTTCTAGAATTATATAGTGGGTATGGGAAGTGTAGAGGCAATAGCGGTTTTGGTGTTTTGGTTCCACTACAAGCAAAGGGAAAATATCATGGGTTTATTTTCCGAACTTTGTAGGAGTCCACTAGAAAAATTAAAAATAAAAAGAAACTGGATTCGCGGGCTTTTTGCTTTCTTCAATTATATATTTCTTGCATAATTCCATACAGCATTTTACTCATCAGATCGAACATTTGGCATATATGTCTGGATGTTAACTAACTGTAACTCTTAATTGAATTAAAAAATAAACTATATGATTATGCAATTATGCTTGCATGCAATTTGTGATGTCAGATCAAATAGCTACACAGACAAAGTTTTCTTCTTCATATTTCTCAGCTCACAAACTTGATTGTGCATCTGCAAATTTTGATCGGTTATCCTTCTATGCAATATAATCTCAATAACTTGAAATCATTTGTTAACTGAGTATCTCTTTGTCAGCATGTTCAAATACACAGTTTTGTGTTCACATCTTGACACTTGTGCAGATATCTGAACTAAGTAAACTCATTTTGGAGATGAGGACAATTCTCTACGGTGATGGCCAGTTGGAACCAAGTTCAGAAGCTTGTGCACAACTGACACAGGAGTTCTTTAAAAATGATATGTTGCGTCTTCTAATTACTTGTCTTCCTAAATTGGATTTGGGGGTAAGTAACTTTTTGCATTGAGGCCTTAGATTTAATTTTGTGGAGTTGTACTTTTAACAGTTTTAAGTCCCCCCTCCCCCTTCCACCACCCACCCCCCCCCCCCCCCCCCCCCCCCCCCCCCCTTCCCCCAACAAAAAAAAAAAAAAAAACAAAAACAAAAAAGAGTGAGAGAGAGGGAGAACTTTTGAGAAGCCAATTTCAGACCATTTGATTCTATATAGTAGATTCTTCTATTTACCTTTGGACTTTGGAACTGAGGCATACTGTTACACTTGATCTATTCTTCTCATGTTGGATGTCATAATGAGGTTCCTACTTTGCAGGCCCGTCAAGATGCCACTCGTGTAGCTGCAAATTTGCAAAGACAACGGGTTAATTCACAGTTGATTGCTTCTGCTTACTTGGAACAGAATATAGATCTCATGGATATTTTAGTGCTAGGGTAAGCTCTTTATTGTAGTGGTCTGGAAATTGGAAATGGCATGGTAATTGGCGATTGTTTGTCAATATCTATATTATCCTTATTCTAATTCTTTTTCTTATTCTACTTTCACTACTGTTCAGAAATTCCAGAAACCACTTTGTAGGAAAACTGCATTGTAGCCATCAAGCATGATTTTTTCAATTGAAAACCATAATAAAGAAACCAATATTAAAAGCAAGAAGAAACTCTAATCAACCTACCACCCAAAATTGATTGTGGATAACATCCTAAATTTTAAGTGCTTTACAACATTGCTTTTAGTCTATTGTATAGTTATAGTGTACTTAGTATGATTCTGTCATCAATGAAGGTCGCATGACTGCAATTTATGAAGTGTTAGTTAGAAAAGAAGAAATGCCATCAGAACCTACTATATTGTTAGGATAGTTACAGTTAACTCACTGTAGAAATCAGAAGGTTTTCTTTGATTTTTCCTTCATTGCATCAAAGGTTTTAACCTTCTTTATGCTGGAGATCTAACTATCAATCGTTGTTTTAGTTTTAGTTACTAACTATTCCACATTATTTACAGTTTTACTCATTGAAGAATGATGGATGCTATAAATTTTTTGGAAGATTAACTTTTGTGCTTGGTTCAATTGGGGCGAAAGGGAGTCTATACGTCTTTTATAGTTTCAATGTTTGGATTTCTAATATCGAGCTATAATTGCTTAAATATTTAGATATGAAGACCCTGACATCGCTATACACTATGGTGCAATTTTGAGAGATTGCATTCGTCATCAAGCTGTTGCAAGGTAAGCAATATTGATATGATTCATGGTCCGAATGCTGGCTTGCCATAATTCATTATCAAAGATTAAAAAGTTTATGTAAAATGAATCTCATTGGTAATGGTTAGGATTCAGATTGTTGTCTGACTTGGCGTTGTCTTGTACAATTTGAACTCATAACCGTTTTCTGGTTGAATCCTTAATTTTCTTTTATAGTAAAATTGAAATATGAAGAAGGGTAGTGGAACCATATCTAGGAAGATACGGAATGGGTAGAAGGAAAGAATTAAAGAGCACAGCAACTGTAGCTTCTTTCTCCCTTAAAAAAAAAAAAAAAAAGTAAATAAATAAAGAAGAAAGGCTTATACATGTCTTACACATAATGGCCTGACATACCACATATTTCCTTTTTGCCTTCTAAGGTGGCTGTCAGTATTCTTGTGCTTGTTACATCTGGTCGATACTTTACAGTTGGCTTGCACGTAGCAAGGCAGAGTGTATACCAAAGGTCACACTTGGGGATATGAAACCTATGTGTGGCATCACATGTTGAGGCCCTTGAGGATTGGGGGACGTTTTAGAGGTTTTATTTGGTAATTTTTTTAAGAATAAAGGGAGTGTGATCCTCATTTGCATGAAAGAAACAATTGCATGGTGAATTATGAAAATAATAACCACGACTCTCAATCAGTTTCTGCAGATAGTTATACTTCATGCCCTTCACATGATGACCATCATATTGCCATTCCAACATTTAGTTACATATGTTACCATGATTTGTATTGACAGTTGAAGCTAAATTCTGGAAAGGTTTGTGTGTTGAGTCTTTAGAAACAAATTTAAGAACTCAGAGAGCAAGGGAACCATCTTTAAGTAAATTATTTCCTAGCCTCTCTCTACTTTTTTGTCGAAATATGGCTTGAAGGATGTTGACTTTTACAAAACCAGATTCAATCTCAAAGTTGATCAAGTAGCAACCCCTATGCCAACTAAAACAGAACTGCTCTAGAATATATTAATGTCTTTGCTAATTAAGATCTATGTTTTTTTCATGAACTAGTGCCTACTGGAAGTGAAATAGCCCTAAAACTAGTCCTGTTTAAGTTCTCTTAGTCCTTTAAGCTGATTTATTAACTGTAATCCAACCTGTTGTGCCAAAAATATTTTCTTATAGGTATATCTTGGAGTCAGAGAACCTGAAGAAGTTCTTCGATTATATACAATTTCCCAACTTCAACATAGCATCAGATGCTGTAGCAACTTTTAAAGTTAAGTATAATTAAGATTTTTTTTTTTCCTTAATGAACAACCTCTGATGGATGAGTTCTTGCCAGCACTGTGTTTTTCTCTATGTTGTTTATTTTTCCTTGTGTGAACAAAATACCAGCACTATCAACAGTGGCATATCATTTTGGCACACCATATTAATTACTGATGCACCAATCAGATTCAAACTTATTGCATTGCATTTTAGCAATATTCTTTCAGGGAAATTAGTAGATTAGCAAACTCACTTTAATGCCACCCAATTCTGACCTCTGTGAAGGTTGTGCATTGAAGGTAGAAGAGAATATCCTACAGTCCTGCCTGCTAATATAGTTCTATAAGTTGTGACAGGTGAAGGTTGTATGAAGCCAAATAATATTAATAGGCCCGTTGTCACGACCCGAAAATGATACCAATTCTAAAAAAAAATTCGGCATGACCTCTGCTAAAAAGGGCCCTACCACAACCTGTTGAAATGCATAAAAAAAATGTAATGGCCTCACTTGGCCATAAACTAATCTATCATGTCCCAACGCACAATGCAAACAATATACCAATTTCCAAAATAACTATATACATATAATCAGAGTCCCTTCCCTCCAATTCCTTCAATAAAAAAAAAATATGGAAGTACCAGTCCACTACTTAGTCCCATACTCCTTTACAAGGAACAAAATCTAATTACATCAATTTACAGTCCATGAAATACAGCTGAAATCAAAAGTTCATAATTTACAACATTATACAAATTATTCTAAAGTTTTACAGAGTAGTCAAAATTTACAAAATATTAAAGTTGTAAAACAAAAATAGCAAAATATAAATTTCCAATCCCGTCTAAACTTGTGGTGGATGGTCGTTCGCCACCTCCTTTCCGTGTCCTGAAAATTATTAATAATAAGGGGTGAGCAAAATTGCTCAGTAGGTGGTGCCTAAGACACACCTCTTGTGACACCGTGAATCCAAACAATGAATAGGAATAAAGGATGGGGTTCATGCTATGCCGGGAAAGAATACAACATTAATTCCAATTTTAAAATAAATAATGCCGTGCCATGATATGCGATGCCATGTATGTCGCTCCCCACTTTAAAAATCCAAGTCCATCACTTTTCAAATTGTTAATATAACTCGTCCGTTGGTGACTCCGCAGCAACACGAGAGAAGGATTGGCTACTGTCCCTGACCCTTGGTACCCCCGCGGCGTCATTTGGGGCCCAGATAGCTCAACCACGCTAGAGTGTTTTCCCTAGTTCCCTCTAGGTTACATTAACACACCGACCCTTTGGTGACTCCGTGGCAACCAGGTTTTCTCAAAACCATTTAATCAATATTTCTTCCCAAAAATCCCTTTCTTTTTTTTCTTTTTTTTTTTATTTTTATTTTCAAAACATTTCCCGTCCTTCATGCCCCATGACATGCATGTATGTCTCATGCCTTCAATACCATGGAAACAAGATACTTTCAAGTAACATAATTAATCATTCTTTACCAAAATTTTCAAAGAAAACACATATAGTTTACATACATCATTTCTAGCACAATTCACAACATGATAGACATAGGAAATCAACATTTAAGCATGTTTTTCATACAAATCAACATGTATATATAGAATCATGAACTTTATATATTACTACAAGATCATTCTAGGATAATTATCATCAATTAGACAAATTAACAACAATTACATGAAATTAACTCACAAAGGAACAAGAAAATGTGGGTTAGAGACCCCTACCTCAGTTTTATACAAAACCCCCAATTTGTGCCCTAGATCCCAATTCTCCTAGAGTGCACCAAACACCAAATTGCTCCGATCAACTTAAAGATCTCGTCGTGGGCTTCAATTTGCCGAAAACGGCACTTAAAAACACTAAGTATTGAAGGAGAGATGTAAACTTGAAGTTTTGATAGAAAATGAAAAAGAAAAAAAGCAAGAAAAGTGAGGTGAGGGAGAGACAAGTGGGAGAGAGAAGGTGAAGGAGGAAATGAGACCAGAAATAGGTCTCTTGGCCTTTTTGTGTGTTAATGGTGGGTCCCACCTATTTTAATTTTATTTCCCTTTTATATTTGGTTTCTTTCTACACCACATAAATACTTATACACATTAAATAATGCATAACCTTATACAACACATTAAACAAGATAAATATGATGCAAATGGACCCAACCAAAATACTTGTATGCAACAATTCCGGTAGCGGGTCCCACACGGAACCGTCCGGCCCGAAAAACGGAAAAAATGCAGAAATGGTCACCTTGGCATTTCAAAGAGTTCTGGACTCAATGTAATGTCCCAAACAACTCTAGAACACAACCGGCACACTCCGCAGTATCCGGTACGCAAGATGGTAAAAGACAAAATAGCCCTTACAACGACAAAAATTTCCGAAAAAATGAAAAATGGCGAAAAATGGAAATATCACACCTGCTGTCTCAAATCTTTTCGTTTTTGTTAGATAACTTGTGATTTTAGGTTCATAAAGAGTCTGCTCTCTCTCTCTCTTTCTTTTTTTCTTTTTTTTGATGGGTATAAGACTTCACCACAACATAAAGATTACTGTTTCTGTTATTAATTTCCCCAATAAAAATTGGGAAAGAGATCTATATGCCTTGTATTTGTGTAGCATGGTAAGTTGTCTTTTAGCAACTAATTTTGGAGATTTTTACAAGTCTATTCATTTTAACAGTAAACATAGTTTTCCATTTAAAAAATGACATTCTAAATGTGTCATTTAATATTCATCTTCTTAAATTCTTTAGTTTTTTGAATAGTTTAATGGTCTGGAGTTGTGGACAGAATGGATATTATATTTATGTTGCAGCCCTGATTATATTTTTCGTAGCACTGAGTTCTCCTCATCATATACCAACTTTTCGTTCATAAACCTTGTCTGGCATCAATCAATGGATGCCGATTTCTTGCCGAATGTTACTTTTTGCATCTTTTATGTCCTTAATCTTCCTGTTTCTTTTGGTAAGTCAAGATTTTACTGTCAAGCAAGCTTTTCTGTTTATGACAAGAATTTTATTTATAGAAAATCCTGCTATAAAGAAAAGTCATCCTGCCATCTCTCTGAAAAATTTAAAGAGTTCTGTAGGGTGCTTGGAAAAATTTGCAGCATTATGTTTTGTTCTTGTGCCAGTGGTTGTCATCCAGTCGACATGAATGCTGATGCTACTGATAACTATGTTACAGGAGCTCCTAACTAGGCATAAATCTACTGTTGCTGAATTTCTTTCTAGAAATTATGACTGGGTAAGTGTTAGTTTTACTTTACTTATATATGTATCATATCTCAGTATTATGGGATTGTGAATAATTCATCCTTGTTACAGCACGTTTAATTTGTGATGTTCTTCCTACTTTTTTTGTCGAATTTAGTATTATGGGCTTGAGGGCAACTCAACTTTTTTAGAGCAAGGAAAGTTATAGTTTTTAGGGTCAATTGCATAAAACCCCCCTAACTATAAACTAGAAACACAGCCTTCCGTCAAGCTACCACTAAGAAATAAATGATCAAAACATTGGGATCTTTGAAAATCCTAATTTACCATTGTGGGTAATTGCATAAAATTTCTCTGAAATGTAAAAATTTGCACATTATCCCTTCTTCTAAGGGATATCGTGCAAGTTTCTTAATTCATGGGGTTTATGCAATTAACCTTAAGGACCATTTTGGTAATTTTCAAAATACATTTAATGACCACCTAGAGAAGTTAGGTCATTGGCCTTATTAGAAAACTTTTAATCGTTTAGGGGGTAAATTTTATTATGGGGGTACCATGAATTTTTTTTTATAGTTTAGATGTTCTTTGCAATTACCCCTAGTATTAACTTTTTCTATATTGCAAGTATAAACAATACTTGGAAGGATTTTAAGTTTTTTTACCTGGCATATAAATCTGCCAATTGTTGATATTTTTTCATCATTAGAACTCAAAATAGCAGCAGTGTCCTTTTTCAAAGCTTGTTGCTAATTTCTGTACTAAAATAGGAAAGGGCAAGTCATTAGACACTCTTAGTATATGTTTTCTGAATAATACCAATGCTTAAAAAAGATCATTATATTTAAGTTGCTTGCTGAAGCAATATATTAGTATTGTTGAAAGAAATATATCAACATTTAAAATTAGTGGGATAACGGTTAATATGATGCTAATTTCATTGAGTAAAGCAATTCTTTGTATTCATATACAACTTTGAACACCAGGTGTTTAGCATCAATGAGCATTATAATGTTCGCAAACATTTTTTGCACTACTACATATCAGGATTTAGCTTAGTTATCATTTTGAGTGCATCAAATCTGTGTTGAGATCTTTCGTGGTAAAAGTGGAAATAGATAATTTGGAAAGAGAAGGTTTTGAAAGTATAAATTTGATGACCAAGAGCTTAGTCTAGTGGTATCTCCTCTATTCCCCACCCCCCCCTAAGGAATTGTTTGCACCCAAGGGCGTCGAACCTTACACCTGATGCCTCATGAGACACCAGGGCCAAGTGACTTGCCCACTTTGGCCAACCCACTGGGGTTATATCTCCTCTACTTTTGAAGGTTGAAGTTTCAGCAACTGTGATTCCGTGTTTGTTTTAAATATAAATTTGGTACAGGTGGCTCCCTTTTGGGAATAGAAGTTCTTTTTGGGTGCTGTGAACTATTAAACAAAATGAGACCAAATTTGGCAATGATGAAGTGTGAGATTTTATTTATTCACGATGTCTGATTACAGAACATTGATTTTCAATTTTGTCAGGATAAGTCCTTTATGTGGCATTCGTGCTGTATGCAAAAGTTTGATCTTCATATATGGGGTTTGATGATTCAAAGTATTGCATGCTGTATATACTTATTTGATTATGCCTACAAGTAATTCAATATCGATATTCTAAATTTCCGTGTCTCTTCTTATTCTATTCAATTTATGTGACTTCTTAATTGTTCACTGCTTGAACGTCTTGGACTGTTTCCTGGTTGTAGTTTTTCCCGGAGTACAAATCAAAGTTGTTAGAATCTCCTAATTACATCACCAGAAGGCATGCCATCAAGGTACAATTTTGGTTTTCTAGATTCTTTACATTGATCAGTCTTGTCTTGATATATTATTATGATTGCTCTTATTATTGTGTCATTCTTCTTCTTTTTTTCCTATTTAAAAATAAATAAATAAATAAACGGTGAAATCTGTTATTCTTCTTTCTCCAATCAACTTTATTCATTTCTTCACTATTATGATAATGGTTCATATATGATGATTCGTGTTCATTTTATTTTTATTTTTTTTAACTTCTTTTTTATAGTGGCAGTGCTTGCAGAATTTCTGATTTACCAAGTTGATTGGATTATGGGTATTCCCTCCAGGCTCAAATCTCTTACAAAAATGTCTATATGAACGAGTGTCTGTGTGCATGCATTTTTGTTGTGGGTTCTTGTTGGTGATTTTGTAATAGTGGAGTTAATATAAATGCAACAAGGGGTCCAAGGAAATTGGCCTAGGTGGAAATCTTGATGAACTTCAAGGAGAGAGAGAGAGAGGAGTGCACAATTCCTTGAACTTTCAGAAAGGATGGTTACCTTAATGAGACCTGAGATTTTGGGTTGGTTCCCACTCTAAAGTCGGGGGTTGCAGCTTTGTTATGGTAGAAAAGAGTCAGGCTGTTATAGGAGATCATTATACAAAGAGATGAGGTAACATAGGAGTTAAGTACTAGGTTCGGCATGAATCGATGGCCTATGACCCGAAAAGGTGGGTGACTTGAGGTTCGGATTTGTTAAGTGGTATAGTAAATGTGATGGGATAGAGGGGGAAAAGGTTAGTTTTTGAGGGATGTGATTGCCTAATTTGCCTCGAGTTATCGGTGTGACTCTATTTGACAAGAAAATCATTGATACAGCTTTGTCATGCAATGCAACACCTAGAGCATACAAACCCTATTTTTGCCTTGTTTTCCATTTTTTTTTTTTTTTTTTTTTTTTTTTTCTACCAACCAACGCACATTCCATCCAAACACAATCTAAAAGTTAGATCCACCCTTCAGAGCTCATTATTCAGATTATTTAAGCCTAAATCTTGAATTAAAGAGTTCCAATACTTAAAATAATTGGTCAGTTTTTCAATTTCTGAATTATTTTCTGCATTTTCACTTAGATTCGACCAAAAAGTATTTAAAACATAAATGACATTGATATGCTAGAATATTGTCTTCTGTTTTATTTGTTAACTTTTTGCTTGTTTCATTTTTTAGTGCATTTGTGGCCATAAATTAAGTGAAGTGCACAAATTTGTAAGCTTGTATTGCAGATATAAACTTTAAATTGCAACACATGGACCATTACTCATATTAAAACACTTTTAATTTTTTTTTTTAAGGAATCTGCTAAAAATCATTTATAATTGATATTTTATTGGTTTGACATTGTTGAAAGTTGTGTATAGGTGCATTTTGAACAAAGGTAAAAGAAATTGAAAATTTTCACAATTGCAATGGACTCATCTATTTCTTAACCCCCATTATACTCTCCCTTCCTTACACTACAGCATTCATGTTGGTGTCCATGTTGACGACTAGAGGCCTTGGTTAGTGCAAGCCCCCTAATCCTTTCTCCCAACTTAGGGAATTGCATCGACCTCTGTACAAAGAAAATTGTCAGAGTTAATTTTCAAAAAAAAAAAAATTGTCAGAGTTTCCAACACTTCGTCAAGGTTTGCCCATAGGAGAGGAGCTCCTTGAGCTCTTAAATGTTTCCTGGAGGCAAGTTCATTGGGGTCTTGGATGAAGTTACCTGTAGCAAAGCAACAAAATTTCAGTAGCCTCTCCTTTGTGGCAAGGCTTATTTCTGGAGGAGGTTATTCTTAAAATTCGTATTCACAAAGAGGTTTATTCACAGGTGAGAAGGTCCTCAGAGTAGTATTGGGTGCCTTTGGAGAAGGCTGGGATATATATTCTGAGGATTATCATAGAGAGGAGCTTCTTGAGTACTTGATTATTTCTTAGAGATTTTATCAATAAGAGAAGACTCCTCGAGATCTTGACAATTTTTTGAGGTCTATCAATAGGAAAGGAATTCCTGGAGCTCTCAAATTAATATTTTTTGTTTGGTAACATTAGTGAACCCAGTGATGCAGGACGGGTAGGGCAGTTTTAATACTGATTTGATGCAGAATGGGTGAGAAGATGATTAAGGGAAAAGAAGATAGAAGAACAGGGGAGGAGAAATAGAGGGAGAAATCTCAATATTCAATATTCATAAAAAAATTGTTCACTCAATGCCATAAGTCACATATATATAAGCATCAAAGCAGAAACCAAATCAAAGTAAAACAAAAAATAAGACCCTAAAATATTTACCAAAATATCCCTAAAATTAAAGCATTACCAAAACAATAATAATAATTGAAACTCATGGAGCTCATTATGTTTGTCATATCTCATTCAACATCACCCAGACTTTAAGGAGAGTGCACAATATACTTCTTGCTTGAGAATTTAGAGAACTCGGCCTGAAACAACCATGTCATTGGTTAAGCCATTCCTCTTTTTGGGTTTGTGTGAGTATGACACCTTGGGACCTTATTTTGATTTATTTTACGCAATTTTTTTTGTGATTCTCGAGCATTGGTGCTAATGTTGGGTCATGTACCTGAAGCACAACAATAATTCATTCCTTTGCTTATAATCTGTAATGTGTTGCAGCTGTTAGGACATTTGTTACTAGATCGTTCAAATGCTTCAGTGATGATCCGGTATGTAAACTCGATGGAGAACATGAAGATCATGATGAATCTGCTCAGGGTCCTCTCTCTCTCTCTCTCTCTCTCTCTCTCCATGCACGCACACTTTCATAGTTGCGTCTATATATACATAATAATGCATTTATTTCTCATTGTTCCTGTAGGATTCAAACAAGACAATCCAGTTAGAAGCGTTTCATGTGTTCAAGGTGTGGTATAGAATAATGAGTGTATTTTTAAATAGTATAGAATCATGGTTTATATGTGACTACTTTTTTATAATTGCATTCATTTGTCTAAAACCTGCTTCTCCTTCTTTTTTTGCCCTTTCCTGTTGACAGCTATTTGCAGCTAATCAGAATAAGCCTCCTGAGATAGTCAGCATACTTGCTACAAATAGAAACAAGCTCCTTCGCTTCTTTGGTGACTTCAAGTTTGATAAAGGTAGACACTGGAAATTCCGTAATACTTCTAAAATTCCTTTTGCACTGTGATATAAATTTTTTGTTTTGATTTGCCACAGTGGATGAACACTTTGAGGAAGACAAAGCTCAAATTGTCGAAGAAATTGCTACCCTTGAAACTAGAGATAGTTCAGTGCAGCGCAGGGCTCTAGACAAATTTGAGATTTCCTGTGAACAGTAAATATGCGACAATAAATGCATGTAAGTACCTTTAAGTATTTGCTTTGTTCCTTTTTTGTTGTTATAACCATTAGAAATGTGTATAATTTATACAACTATATAATTACAGTCTTAGCAATCTATAGAATTATATCCTCTATGCAGTCTGCTATGAGATGTTACAGAGAATATTCGGACATATATGATTCCAGAATATTTTTGTATCAATACTTTTTGTTTGTCTTCCATGTTTGGTCTACCAGTTGGCAACCTTACCCTTGTTTCTCTGAAATATACTTCCTTGCCCTCTTGCTTCATTATTGGCAATTTGACATTTGATAAACACTGAAAGCTACCTGTAATTAGATGACTACTCAGATTCTCTTTGCCATGGCAAATGATCTTTAAGCTGGGAAATCTAATTCATATTTTATGGAGATGGTGTAACTCAGATTCTTGTCAGTTGGCAATCCTTAAAAAAACATCATGTTCGCATTTCAATCATTTGTAGTTTTACCTAAAAGATCAAGTACCATCACCAAAGAGTTAAATCCCCATGCTTATTTTTTAATATTCGAATTCATTTCATCATTTGATCAAACATATCCATCGTTGGTTCTTGCAACAATCTTTCCCCACATCTTCTTCTTCTTCTTCTTCTTCTTCTTCTTTCTTTTTTCTGTGGTCCCGCATTTATTCCGAACATATCCCTATTTTCTCGTGTTCTATCAATTTCTTTCTTAGCATTACCTCCCTACCCATTTTTAACTTGGACATGTCATAATTTTACATCATTCAAATTTTGGTGCACCATCCATAACTCCCTCAAAAAGTTTCTGTGCAAAGCAGTTGATTGCTGAAATTATATAATTAATGTATAGACAAATATTTACTTATGTGTCCAGACGTTCATGCACTTTATCTCCGATAGTTGCAGCTTTCCCCGTCTCACAACTGTATTCAAGTCATTTGTTAAAACATTTTTTTTCTAGTGTCCAATATTCTGTCCCATAAAGCATGTTGGCTGAATTATTTATCAAATTTATATTTCAGCTTTTCAGTTAGTTGATCATACCATATGTCAGAAGCACGTTTCCTCCTCTCGAATAATTGAGCCTTAGCGACGAAAATCTTCGACTTCATTTTTCATTTTTCCTTTTTTTTTTGTACTTTCATCTCTTGACCCTTGTCTTGATATTTGTACTCATAATTTTGCTAACATTAAATTTTGTATATTCAGTTTTAATGCTACTCATCTGGCACTTTTGTTTATTCTTAAGCTTCTTTCTAAGCTAGTGAACAGTTCATTTGTGGATATGGTTATCAAAGGCTCGCGAATATAGCATGTTTTATTAGTTATTGTTTGGGTCTAAAACTAATTTTGATAATAAGCTCAAGCTTGACGAGCAATGCTTATACAAGTTTAACTCTACTCTAGCTTGAGCTTTAATAGCCTAAACTTCAGCTTATCTTGGCTCGTTTGCAGCCCTATTCAGCTCACTAGGATGTTCAAACATTAATTTTCGGATTCATTCAACATCAATTGCTAAAAAATCGGTCACAAATGTTGCCAAGTGTCAAAGGCGCACCTGAGCACACGACAGGTGCAACACTTGTGCCTGTACGAGCCTGGAGCTGCTCCAGGCTCACACCTTTAACAACGCATCTCTTCATAATTTTAGAATTCTTCTACTCAGTAGTCAGTACTCCAATTAGTTCAAAGAGAATAATAATATTTTGTTCAAGAGATAGGTTGGCTAACATTAAAGAAAAATGACCTTTATTATATAGGGGATTCAAATATATAAGCTTTAGAATTTAGATTCAAGTCCTGGGTGAAGTATTGTCTAATAAGATGACCAAATGTGAACATTCTCACAGTTCAAACTTCAAAAAAACAACCTCATTCATAGCTTCACACTGCAAATGAGGGAAAACTCAAGAAAGAGTACTTTTGAAGTATATATTACAGCTTCAATCATACAAAAATAGAGGGGCTATTAATGTGAAACCATATTAGGTTTTAGTTGCCGCAGCTCCTCACACATTGGATTTGTTATTAGTAGCTCCAATGTCACCTATTCAACGTATCATGAGAAAAAAGTATACAATTAGTTGAAAACAAATTAAGGGGGATAAAACTGAAAAAAAAATTATGCAAAATTTATGAGCTACCCATCAGCTGAAGATATTAATTAATTTAAAACAGAAAACAACAATTACTCTTTTGATAAATTATGAATATAATGTTAGCAGTAATAAATGGGATATGACCTTGCAATTTTTTTTTTTTTTTTTCTTAGTTGGTACTCACACACACATGCCTCTACTGAGTTTTGAACCCCTGACCTTCCTTTGGGAAGTAAGGGCCTGATATCGCTAGGCCACTGGCCCGTTGGTATGACTTGCATATTAGTATATATATATATATATATATATATATATATATATATATTGTCCCGTGCTTCCATCATCACTCCAGCATGTAAGTTTAATAGGTTCCTCAAGTCAAATCGTCACGATGGACAACCTGGCCAACCATTGGGTGCATCACATTCGGTAACTAGAATAATATAATTAAATGCCAAAACCATCAAATTAAGCTGAATATTAGAACACTAGATTATATAAATGGGACTGTTGACCAGCATAGATTGCAGGAACCTAACAATCACAAAGGCTAAAGTGTAATTCAAGTCCCGGGGAAAGTACCATTCCGAAGATGTTTTGCACCATTCAAGTATTAATTTTGAAGTGCAGAAAATTTGTAGGTTTGGTCCAATTAATTAGGAATTAGCAACTCATGCTTCCTCATGGACCCTACATACCTTGCTTTGTGGCACAGCTTTGGTGTTCTAGAACAGTTAAAAGAAAGTAAGCTCACCTCCTGGAAGATTTCACTATAAGAAGCATCCTTAAAGCCCTACAACAAGCATGTAAAGCATTTAGTCAACCTAATGTTAGGAGAAAACTAAATGCAATTCTACGTGCATATGAAGCGAAGACATGGCTAGAACCGGAAGCAAGAGCATGGGTTCCGTCTAATGAGTGGCAAACAATGCAAAAAAAAACAAAAATGTACAAATAAGAATACAAACATGATTCTTCTGTGTGTGTGTGTGAGAGAGAGAGAGAGACCAATTTTCGGAACATATTAAGAGAAGCTTCATTTGAGTCTCCAATTTTCGCACGGAAGATGTGGATGCCCAACTTCTCAACTGCAAACGCTATCATCATCAGAACTGATTCCTTTCCAAGTCCTTTGCCACGACTATGCTAGCAAGAGTGACGCAAGAAATTTATATAAGATATATCTGGATGTACCATTAAAAATAAAATATGTTGCTCTGATGAAAATGGAAAAGATCCCTTTTCATTGCCAACATGAGGCAATGATACCGGAATTGGAGCCTGAGGTATAGGATTAACTGCAGATAAATCAATTCATAGTCTCATACACCAAATAACATTCCATGATGTAGTAATATGCGTGTGGTTGATAAGACCAAGAAGAGGGTTAGTTTAAAAGTTGAATGAAGAGATGCGTTGGAATCCTAGGGTTTCCAAAATTATCTATACCATAATAGGATGGAAGAAATGAATAACTAAGATTACAAATATACTACGAACTTCTCAGCATTTTGGTGTGATCATCCATAAGATGAAGATACTGGAAATGAATTCTAACCATAACGCCAAAATCAGTGGTAGTGGACAATAAATAATCACATTCTAACAAGAACGCAAGACGTTGAGCATGGCATCTTCTTAAAATCAAGACATATGGAAACAGTGATTTCAGGTGTTTGTGATGCAACTACAGTCACGCATTTTATCTTTGTTTAAATTCTTTTATAGTACATGGAAGAACACAGAAAACAATTGACTTTGTGATAGTTCTAATTATTAAAGAGTGAATCTATTTGTTGTTGTCATGGTAATTATGAAAGAAAAACAAGTGGCAGGAATGGTTAACTAAGGAGTCACATTAACAAGTCAAACAAACAAATCATAATAGGGCGAACTTAATGAACCTAGAGGCAGGTGAGGAAAAGAAAAATACGTTTACTTCAAAGATGTTACATGGCTAAACAAACATATCAAACCAGGTGATATAAGACAAATGCGGCAAGCTTTAATTGATTTTCTATGGCTAAAGGCTAGAGAAGATGAATTTAGGATTTGTGAAAAGCGTAAGAAGGGGTACAGTTTGGGGTTCTAATAACGCAAGGCAAGGCAAGGCAAAGTTTTGGGACTATTCAGAACTGTGAACAGTGCTTGGGGATAGTAACTGTGGACTGGTGGTGGTACTGTTAAGGATCTAGATTGAGTAATTGAAGAAAGTAAAAATTTTGGGATTATGAAATAGGATCTCAAGGGGTTAACAGAGTGAAGGGGTTTTAAAAACTTAAAAAGTGCATAAAATCAAAGGAAAAAAGAGCAAAAGGTAGGAAAAGAGAGTAGGCATCACACCTAGAATTCCTTAGACATCACACTTCATGTTAAAACTGTATCATCAAATCCCAAAAGAGCTTCAAAGCCTCAGAAAATTATATGGATAGCCAGGAAATTTCAAGTTTATATAAATCTACAATTGAGATAAGAATGTCAAATGGATTAGTGAAATGCCATATAGGTGCCAATGACATGATTGTTTCACATGGACAAGTTGACAAATGACAAATCCATTGTGAATAAGCAAGTTAGTGTGTTTCACGTTATAATCGGTCATAGGAAAGTCCAAGTCAATTCATAAAGTTTTTCAATGGGAAAGATATATTTATTTTGCACATGTTTTGGAGTCTGTTCTTTCCCCTGAGAAAGTAAGGGTGCTAATGTGGCTATTTCTCCCCCCTGGTTACAAGCATCATCTGATTCCTCATCCATTCAACAAAAAATTATTTCTTAAAAATATTTATAAGAAAAGATGAACCAGAATATAAATAGATTCATGACCAAAAATTTAAAAAATAAAAAAACTAAATCTAAAATTTAGGTTGTGATAGAAGACAGCACAACAACTTGATATTACTAATGGCATTAGAGTAGCCACATTAAATGATAACTGTAGAATTGTGGAAGTCCCAAAAGTATTTTTTGACAATAGCTAAAGGAAGCCAATGACAAATCTTATAGATTCAAATCTTAAATCATATGTTGTACCTGACTTGCGGCTTTTTACATATCGCTATTCTATATTTTATATAAAAATTTCCCTATCATCAATAATCGTACAGCAAAGTAAACAACAATAACAGAAAGAAATAAACCCAGAGGTCGGGAGAGAAGTATGAAACTTTGCATGTATACATAAATTCACATGAACTTGCAAACATTTAAATATGAAAGGCTGAGAACATGAATCAGCAATAACACAAAAACTTTTTACTTTTAACTGAAAATTGGCATCATTTGAAGACAAGTGAAGGTGTCCTACCTTTTGGGTTCAGCAATCATTATTTCAATCTCCGCCATTTGGGTATCGTCCAAGTCATTCATGTAGATGTTCACATCACCGACCATGGCTGGAAAGGGCATAACTGTTATTCCCTTAAAAAATATGAAAATACTATCAACTAGTAAACAAGGTATTTCATTAGTGAGTTAGAAATTAGACACTAAACTATTGATGACCCTAAAATTACAATTACATTTATTAAAATTTACAAATACACATAAGCTGAGAAACTTAAAAGTTTGTTATATCCAAGTTAAAGATTCCTGATCATTTTAAGTCTTATCATGATTCTTTGAAATGGTTTTACCCATATATACAAATAATGCAGTTCTGTGACTTTATGATCATAATTATTTGAGAGAGCTCCCCACAAACAGAAACAATGTGCATGTTTTACAAAGGTACTTGGATTCTCAACATACGGAAACACCTCTGATTTACAGCCCACAGGGAGGACACTCCGATCATTAACACCAGTACTGAGTTTTCTTATGGTCAGGTAGTATTATTCGGTTCAACTATCAATATGTGAAATGAAAAAGGGGCATTATCATTCCACATTACCCAGTGCATGTTAATTGCCATCACCTCTTCCCAAAAAAAAAAAAAAAAGAACAAGAATTCCTTTCTCTTAGATTGAAGTGGTTGTATCACGTGAATGATGTATCAACAGAAATACTTGAATGTCAAAGCCATAATTATATCTTACAACAACCAACTTCTAAACAAAGAACACAAGAAGAATCAGTAAATTTGAACAGTTACAAGGAGAATCGAAACCCAAAACCTAACGTCTACCCAAAAAATCAAACCTTCACAATTACAAACACACATGGATACCAATACTAATCGTAACTGAAATTATTAACAACCACAACCCACAATTCATCTAATACCATAAAACTAGGGACAGAAAACCGATATAATTCAGTAAACAAAAAATTAAATTAAATTAAAAGAGTGTGAATTTCAAGTGACCTTCTAAATGGGGTTGTCCATGGATGAAGTCTCCGACAACGAATTCCTTATCCAACACTATAAAAGTCTGCTCTGCAAAACAAACCCACTCTACATTAATCATTGACCAAAATCAAGAAAACCCAATTGACATAATTTGATGAGAGAGATACTGTTGGGGTCTTGGGTCCAGGAGACTTGCATCTGATACTCCTCGTCTAGGGTTAGGGGCTCCGACCCAGTGGCTTGGAGGAGGGCTGGATCTTGCATCCATTGATGATACTTGGGGACGTGTTCTTTCATGTAGGGTACCAATATCACCTTCTCTCCCTCCAAACTCACCCCCATTTTCCGAGTCTGCTTACACTGATCATCCAGAATTAACCCTTTTTAGCAGAAGAGACGACTCAGTGAGTTAGTTATGAGATCGACCAATTCAACACGTCGCCGTTTTAGTTGATTAACCGATCTGTGTCAAGTTAAATTTCAACTCACTGCACTCGGGAGTTGGTCTTGGGCTGAGTCGGGAGTTATATGAGCCAGATAAAATTATGCAGGTTCCAAGAGACAACAGAGGCATGTCAATTTACCTCGTCTGTCCCTATAAAATGAGAATTTAAAATTCATAAAATTCCGAACTTGTCTCAATTAATAATTAAAATATATATAAATATTATTTTATTAGCCTTTTTTTTTTCATTATCCTTATGATAATTTTATATTCTTTTATATTTTTACATTTTTATTATTATTATTGTTAAATATTTGACTAAAAACTTTTTACAAAATTTATTTTAAATTTGTTCAAATTTGAATTAATTTTTTTTAAAAATGTACATCGGGTGCCCGTAGCTCCAATGATGGGTGTCCCGAATCTGGTTTGGAAAAAGTTTTTAATTAATGGGACGAGTTTGGAAATGATGTGTTTGTTGAAATACATGAATGGAACTTACCGTATTGTTAAGGGATGTATTGCACTTAAAAGGTGCAGTAAAGGGTTGTGAAAGGAAGAGGTGCAACCCAAACTTATGTCTGTTCAAAGTGAAGAACCACACCCACAGTGAATAGGTGTGTGAAGGGTAGTTTAAACCAAATTTTGGAGAAGGGATGCGAGTAAAGGGACACATCCATTGACTAGGGGCACAAATTTCTCTATAAATTGTTGAGCAAATATGTATCATATACTATAGTATAATTTATTTAAATATTATTTGTAAATATAATATTTATTATAATAATCTATATATATTTATATAGTTTAATATCAAGAAAATAAAACTATAAAATAAAAGAACCTGTTAAAGTCGAAGTTAGAATTTAATTCTATAACATTAAGACAGATACGCCCCGCTACGGTGCTAACGGACTCTTCGGCGTCTATCTCCCAGGATACAACGATTTTTCTTCCTTTGGTAGTAGCACTTCAAACCAATGGAATAGGCGAACCGGCTCGGTGAAGTACTCTCAGACTCGGATTCGGACTCGAAGTGAGTGACTAAAGTTCGAACCCAATTAGTTAGGGTTGAACCCAAACAGAATCCCTAAGGTTTGAACCCAATTGGTTAGGGTCAAACCCAAACAGATTATAATTCAGAAGAGAGAAGATTTTTTTTTCTGAATTTGGTATATTGAAATGAATCCAAGGAGGGCTATTTATAAGCTTAATGGTGCCTATTCCAAATGGGTGCACCCATATTCCAAATGGATGCAACCATTGTGGACCAATGAGACATTAGAAAGCCAAAACTGATTTAGGTTCAAAAGGTGCAACCATTGGTTCAAACAAAAACTGTTTTATGGTTTTTAATTTGAATTTAAACCCAAAACAGATTAATCCGATCCAGCCCAGCAAGCAAACTTCGGCCATTAATTCAGCCCAGCCCAGCGTGCTCCATCCGCAAGCCCACTTAAATAAGTCCAGTAGACAAATAAAATAAATTTCAACCACACAGGCCCAGTCCAACTTTGTGTAAAAAGGTTAGACCCATTTTACAATTAAGCCCCGCCCCGCCCTAGCCCGGACCGGGTCGGGCGGGCGGCGCACGCGTGTGTGGTAGTTGGTTCGGATCCAGGCTAGCCTAGGTCTTCTCCCTCTTAAAAACTTGGGTGCCCTTGGGCCCAAACCCAAATCCCATACTAGACATATATATACTCAAGGTTGTTTTGCTACTTTTTCGATGTGGGACAAGCATTTCCCACTTTATTCACACACATTTAGGCTTTATAAATCACTTACTTTGGAGCCAATTTCTCATTCACCCGGAAACGGATTTGAGAAAATAAATATACCACATTCATCTCCTCGTAGAGAGAAACGCGCTCGTCAATAGATTCGCAAAAAATTCTTAGCGGAATCTTTTAAAAATCCTTCCAAACTTTGCATTTTCTAATGCCATTTCCAACAATCCCCCACATGAATGAAAATTTGCGCAGATTACAAAAGGAGAAGATACAGACACTAGAGAGAGTACTATTGGAAATTTACTGCATCGGGATAGGTAGCTTTTGACCTTGAACCTTCCCTAGTGTATTACTATCGGATTTACTGGCTAACCAGTGAACATGATGTCTTGAACTGTTCAGCCGTTTATGTAAACCAAGACAATAGTAAACACACGGTTCCTTCCCGCACAAAGTCGGTTCTCATGGTTGTGTTCATATGGCCCTGAACAACGCCTGGTATTTCATGAGAGCTTTATGTCACGGGCTTAGAGTTTCAGCACCACTCTAGCTGCTCCCGTGCGGCACCAAGACGTTGCTTTCACTCTCGCAAGTACTTGGTCAGCCTAACTCCCGTGCACACCTTAGCCAACACACTCCCCTCGTGCGCTTACTAGTGTTGTAGTTGCCCTTGCCCTCTCCTCACTTGGTTTGCACACTCACACACACTAAGGCACTTAAGTTGGCAAGGAAAGAACACTTCTAGTACTTCAAAGAATGCTTTGTACAAGGCTAACACTCAAGCTCTCTACAAGGCTCTCAAGACTCATTCTAGGACTTGTTGTCTGCAAAATGAAGTCCTACCTCTATTTATAGGCATCCCCATCCCTAATGGACGGCTAGGATGCATTCTAACCAACGGTGGAGATTGATTATCTAGAATCTTCTCCCACCTTCTTCACACTTCCATACTTATCTACTAGTATCTACAACATTCTAGAATTCTCCATACTACTCCACACAACTCTGGAGAACTCTAGAACCTTTCACACACTTCTACATAATTCTACACATATCTAGAATCTTCCACACAACTCTAGACTACTCCGGAAGACTCTAGAAACTCCACTTGCCATGCAGTTGCCATGCAGCATCCTCCTCAGCGTCTGCGTGTCGCCTGCGTGGCACAACCTCCATAGGCGGGGCGTGACATTCTCCCCCACCCATTTCCGTGACGCCCTCGTCACGGTTTCTTCAGCTGACCCAGCCTCTCGCAGGTCATCAGCACTTGCGCATATGTCCTTGGCCCAAACGTACGAGCGCCCTTCGGGAGATGTGAAGTCCTCACGAGCTCCATCGTGTTGACTGCCACCTCTGGACTCTCCTTCCTGCCCACGAGCGGCACCATGCATGCGGCCTTGCCTTCCTCGCCTCCAAGTATCATCAACGCACCAAGGCATGGTAGTGGCGCGGCGTTGTTCCTGTCCATGAACTCCAGCCCCAGCACCATGTCATGGTCGTCCATCTCCGCAACTTGGAAGTCGGCCTTGCCCTTCCATCCTTGCAAGCATAGCTCCACCTCTTTGCACACTCTACTCACGCGTGCCTCCTCAGAGTTGACGGCCTTGATCCATCCCTCCGTCTTGCGCATCTCCAAGCCAAGTCGTTGCGCCTCCTCTGGGGTAATGAAGTTGTGTGTGGCGCCCGTGTCCACCAACGCTTGCACGGCTTTGCCACCAACCTGCGCATCCACATAGCGCACCCCAGCTACTTTCTTCGCCTTACCCTTTTTCTTGGTGTCATGCGCCATGCTACTCAGCATCTGCATAGCCCCCATGCACCTGTCTTCGTCGCTGCCCGTATCATCCACCTTGCCCTTGCCCTTATCCTTCACAAGGGCGCTTATGGTCTTCTTGTTGGGGCAGTGTCGCAATATGTGCGGCCCTTCGCACAAGTAGCACTTCGGCTCCCACTTGCCCTTATCGCGGCGCTCCCCTTTGCCACTAGCCTTAGACCTCTCTCCATGGTCCTTGCCTTTATCATGGCGTGGGCGTCTCTCCTCATCGCTGTGCTCATCATCACTTGACTTGGGCGAGCCCCTTTTCTTGAAGCGACGGTCTCCCCCACCTTTACCGTGGTCCCTCCTGGGAGACGTGGCCCTCTTGTCATCGTGCCTAAAGTCTTCAAGGCGCTCCGCTATAGCCATTGCGGATGCCAAGTCTCTAGGCTCCCTCCTTCTCAGCTCTGTGGCTACCCAAGACTGCAACCCATCTATGAACAAGCACACGCGTTGCCGCTCCGGCATCTCTGGGATCTCCAGCATCAAATTGGAGTACTCCTTCACATACTCCCTTATGCTGCCCTTCTGCTTCAAGCGCCTTAGGTTGATCATGGCCAGGTCCTCAACGCACTCAGGGTAGAACTGCCTCTTGAGCTGCCTCTTGAACTCCTCCCATGTGTCAACTGCTCTTGCGCCTCTACCAGTGAAGCGCTGCCTCCACCATAGAGCGGCGGTGTCTGTGAGGTATATAGTGCCTGTCTGCACCTTCTCCTCATCATCCTCGATCTCCATGCACTCGAAGTACCGCTCCATGTGCCAGAAGAAGTTGTCAATCTGGCGCGCATTCCTTGCCCCATCGTACTCCTTGGGCTCCGGCGCCTTCTTCTTCCTTGGCTTCACCACGACCTCGCGCGCCTGGGAGAACTCCTTCTTGCACTCGGCAATCTCCACGCGCAAGTCGTCTACCAAATCATGCAAGTCCCTTTCTTTCTCTTGCGCCTTGTTGGCGATGCCATCAATCAGCTCGTAGAGCTCCGCCATCCTTCTCTCGAGCCTATTAAACTTGGTCTCCGTGTAGACCAAGTGTGTGGCAAGCTTCTCCTCCAAGCTCTGCTCTAAGATGTGGACTTGGTGGTCTCCTCCGCTAGCCATGTCTACTCCAACAAAGCTCCCTTGACGAACCTGCTCTGATACCAACTGTCACGGGCTTAGAGTTTCAGCACCACTCTAGCTGCTCCCGTGCGGCACCAAGACGTTGCTTTCACTCTCGCAAGTACTTGGTCAGCCTAACTCCCGTGCACACCTTAGCCAACACACTCCCCTCGTGCGCTTACTAGTGTTGTAGTTGCCCTTGCCCTCTCCTCACTTGGTTTGCACACTCACACACACTAAGGCACTTAAGTTGGCAAGGAAAGAACACTTCTATTACTTCAAAGAATGCTTTGTACAAGGCTAACACTCAAGCTCTCTACAAGGCTCTCAAGACTCATTCTAGGACTTGTTGTCTGC